CAGGAACTGACTTCCTGGACATCATTGCTGCTTCTAGCGCTGTAACCCAGCAGATACCTGGTATCAGCATTCTTGCTCCTTTGCATTTCTATTCTGTTTTACCCAGATAATTATCTTGTTTTTGAGCTCAGTTGGCTTTGGGGTTCTATTTACATAGTTTGGTTATTATTAATGTGTGTTGGGGCATGGCTTGTCAAAATGTAGACCAACTGTTCCATTTTTATCAGTTCAATTGAAACTCTTTAAAGCTTGCTTTTCTCATAATAATAGATAATTATTTTATATTTTTTAAGATTTTATTTCTTTAAGTAATCTCTATATCCAAAGTGGGGCTCAAACTTACAACCCCAAGATCAAGAGTCGCATGCTCCGCTGACTGAGCCAGCCAGGCACCCCAGTAATAGATAATAATTTTAGAAAACAACCTGATAAGAACGTATTAAACACTTCATCAGGATAAACTCATTTAATCCTCCCCAAAACTTTGATTTTATAGAAGAGGAAAGTGAGAAATGGGGAGGTTTCATAACTTGTCCTGGATCACACCACTAATAGGTGACAGAGCAAGGATTCTAAACGAAATAACTTGGCTCTGTAGTCTATCCTCCTAACCACTATCATGTACTCTTCCACCTATCAGTTGGGGAAAATCATACCTTTTCACAGACTTGTTTGTTGCAAAGTAAGATAAGATGTGAAAAGTCTAGTGTTGTAGCTGATGCATAATAGACATTCAGTGAATGTTTCTTTTTCTTTCCTTAGTGGCAGGCAAATATATTTTCAGTATGATAATTTAAACAAAACTTGTAAGTTTATTTTGTTTAAAATACAGCATGTTTCATTTTAGTAAGAAGGGTAGGAATTCTATTATTGGACTAATTTTCTTGTGTGGCCATGGGGGCAGGACTGGCCTGGGAGAGATGCAGAACTAGGAAGCTAGGGAATCAGAGAAATAGGGTCCAGTGCAAAGTCCAAATTGAAAACTAGACAACTGGGGCACCTGGGTGGCTCAGTTGATAAGCATCTGCCTTCCGCTCAGGTCATGATCCCAGGGTCCAGGGATCGAGCCCCACACTGAGCTCCCTGCTCAGCGGGAAACCTGCTTCTCCCTCTCCCACTCCCCCTGCTTGTGTTCCCTCTCTCGCTGTGTCTCTCTCTGTCAAATAAATAAATAAAATCTTTAAAAAACAAACAAAGAAAACCAGACAACTGAAGGGTTCTGCAGAAAAGCCCTCATGATCCTAGGGAATTCCAGAGCAGAGGACCGTGTGGACTAGATGGGAGGAGCTGGTGCCTTGACGGTTTCCCAGAGCTCCTGAGGTTCCTGGATCCTTGGCAGTGGGCCAGAGAGGGTTCTGGCGAGGGCATTTTGCCAGCCTTTTCCTCAGTTGAGTACTCTCTAACCTTTGTTTTCAAATTCCCCAAATTAACAAGGAGCATTTAGTCTTAGTATATAACACTTAAGGGAATAAATAGGCCTGGTTAACTATTTATAATTACAATAGCCAAGAATCTAAATTAGGGAATTGCCTCTGGGGCCTTAAACTGTTTCCTCAGTCATCTCATCTCCTGCTCCCTCAAGACCACACTTGTGGGTCCTCCACCATTTTTTTTTTTTTTTAAAGATTTTATTTATTTATTTGAGACAGAGAGAATGAGAGACAGAGAGCATGAGAGGGAGGAGGGTCAGAGGGAGAAGCAGACTCCCTGCCGAGCAGGGAGCCCGATGCGGGACTCGATCCCAGGACTCCAGGATCATGACCTGAGCCGAAGGCAGTCGCTTAACCAACTGAGCCACCCAGGCGCCCCGGCCCTCCACCATTCTGCCTGCACATCCTCCAAGTCCAGTCCAGAATCCACCCTGTCCCTGGCACCATACTGACCCCCTGTACACCTTGTGCCTAGTAGTTCCTTGAAGTACATTAGACGCTATGAGAAAGGAAAGGTCCTTGTGAGATATAATATTTGGAGGCAGTTTTACTAATTTTTATGAATGGGGTAAGTGCGGAGATCATAAAGAAATGCTTAGTTGGGAATATGGAGGGAGTGTGTATGCACGTGTGTGTATGTGTGTGTGGCGCGTGTGTTAGAATGGGAACCAGCGAAGTGCACAACCTTACTATAACAGAGTCTGTAGAAATGTGGAAAAAATTTTAAGGTTAGAATCAAGCTGGAATATTTCATTAAGATGGAAAAGGAATTAGATCAAGATTTGTTAACAGTCACGAGCCCTTGTAAGTTCAGGCAAGGTGATGCATGGTGAGGTGGCCTGCTCTTGTCTCAGACCTGCCTGCCCTTTTCAGATTGGTTGGTTTTGCTAGAACTTCTGTGTGCCAGGTCAGGGAGGCTCAGGAGAGGCTCACAGACAGTGTTGAGGAGCATTACTGAGCTAGTATTTATTGTACTCGTGTTTCAGTGCACTTGAAAGGAAAATAAGGAAATAGGAAAATACCTCTTATCTCTTACAGTTCCTTTTTCTCCTTACTTTTTCTGTATAGTGAATCCCTACAGGAGACTTGACCTTAGACCAGCATTTTCTATAAGCCAGTCTTACATTGCCAATGGTCCTTTGGTCCCTCTCCCTTTGGAGGAGAGTAGGTAAATGAAATCTACATGTAATCTTAGATCAAGTAGTTTTTATTTTATTCACCTCTGTGACTCCAGTTTTTTTGGATGATTAGATCACAAAAGATGACTTTTGCTTTGATTTTCTTTTTTTTTTCTTTTCCCTGCTCACCCACTGTGGAGTACATTAACCCAGACATACTTAAAAGACTGTGAAGAATGAGCAAAGGAAGACCATAATCTGTAACTGTAATCATCAGCACTTAACAGTTCTGGGAAATTTGGATTTCAGCTTTTGATTGGGTAACTGTGGGAGGATTATACCAAGCTGGCAATGTTAATAATAAACTAGAAAATGATTCCATGAAATTCAAAGCATTTATCTTAATTTTTTTTTTTAAGATTTTATTTATTTATTTGACAGAGAGAGACACAGCGAGAGAGGGAACACAAGCAGGGGGAGTGCGAGAGGGAGAAGCAGGCTTCCCGCTGAGCAGGGAGCCTGATGTGGGGCTTGATCCCAGGACCTTGAAATCACGACCCAGCCAAAGGCAGATGCTTAACAACTGAGCCATCAAGGCGCCCCTATCTTAATTTTTAAAAGATATAAATTCAGTGATGGGAAGTAACTTCAGTTCTTATAAAAGTACGGGAGGATTGCTTTTATTATGAAAATGTCAAACATTACATGAATGGATTATTTTTATTATGAGGAGTTTCAAATGTAAATTTTAAACATATAATATATTGACATATAAAGCATATAAAAATTTCAAACATATATGTATATAAAAGTAGAGAGAATAATGAAACGAACCACCTTTACCCATCACTCAGATCCAACATTTATCAGAGTTTTGCCACTCTTGCTTCATCTGTACTTTTCATTATGGCTTACTGAAGTGTTATAAAGTACATTCCTGATTTGTAATTTTCACTCCTCTACACTTCAGTGTGCATCTCTAAACAATATGGACATTGCTTCCATGTTCATAATGCCCCTGACACATCCTATAAATAATTCCTTGGTGTCCTATAATCTGTAGTACATTTTTAGGCCCGTGTCAAACTTTTAAAAACTTCTGCTTTAGAGTAGTATTATTTACATATATTTTGTTTTATGCAAGACATAAACAACTAATTGTTTGTTGCTGTTTGGAATATTTAATTAGAAACTGAAGTTACCTATCTGATATCAAACTAGAATAAAGAAAAAAAATCCCACATGTGTTTCTAAGAGGTCTAATTCTCACTGCAAATTAGAAATCAGTTATCTTGGGGAACCTGGGTGGCTCAGTCGGTTAAGCGTCTTCCTTCAGCTCAGGTCATGATCCTGGGGTCCTGCTTCTTCCTCTCCCCCCCGCTCCTGCTCTCTCTCTCGCTATCTCTCTCTCAAATAAATAAATAAAATCTTTGGGAAAAAAATCAGTTATCTTTCTACAGAATATCTTCCTCAATGTAAAAAAATTTTTTTCTTTGGACTTCATCCCTTTATTTTCATGTATTTTTAAATCCAATTACGATCCTCCTAAAATAATTGTCTGTCTACCACTGAATATACTATTTCTTAAGATAATGTTATATAATCGGATAAGGCATAAGGTTAAAAAATTTGGGGGGCACCTGGGTGGCTCAAGTCAGTTAAGCATCTGACTTCAGCTCAGGTCATAATCTCAGGGTCCTGGGATCAAGCCTTGCATCGGGCTCCCTGCTCAGTGGGGAATCTGCTTCTCCCTCTGCCTCTCCCCCTGCTTGTGTGCTCTTTCTCTCTCTGTCTCTGAAATAAATAAATAAGATCTTTAAAAAAATTTTTTTAAATAAAATGTTCTTAAGCACTCTAGAATAACAGTATAATAGAGCAGAATCTCGCTAACAGCAGTGTCCACATAACCTCAAAATATTTATGCCAACTTGCTTTATTAATTCTCCATAGGATCTGGTTGAAAATTTTGTGGTGGGCCACATTTTGAAAGACATGAAAATTATTATTAAAATGTATCTTAAAAAATATACCTTAATATGTGTTTTCTCTGAATATAAATAATCTTTATAAATGTAGAACATAAATTATATTAAAGTTATATTCTCTTTTTGGAAGTCTTGAGCTTTGCAGTATAGATTATCTGTTAGAGTTTCATTAACATCGGAAGATCAGAACATTTTGACTGTGGGTGTAAGCCATGGTATTAAAGCTTATTTTGTAGACAATACACATGCTTTATATGCTTTTGTAAGAAGTGGAATCTTTAATAGCTTCAAATCTTAAGACCCATAATAAAGAGGAAAATAAGTGAAAAGTAGAAAGGGAGACAATTTTTAGTTTCCCTCCTTCCAAATATAAGAATATTTATTCTTTTCTAACAGTATCAATAGTTTGTACTTTTACTTTTAGGTGCCTGATTATTCCAAATGTTTGCTTTATATATGCCTTTTAGGTGCCCCAATGTGAGTCTGCAAAAGCTACCGGAACAGTGGTTATGGAATGTTTTAGAGGAAATTAAATGCAGTGATCCTTCATCTAAACTCTGTGCTACAAGGCGCAGTGCTGGAATTCCTTTCTACATACAGGTACTAATCTGTGGGACATAGCTGTTTGTCTTTTGATAATTTGTTTTATTTGTCTTTTGACAATCCCCTTGACATGTGAGTAAGCATACTGCATAAGGGACATACTGTAACATTTGTGGCTTTGTTGTATGTGTGCACGGTGTGTACCCGTGACAGATCTGTTCTTGGAATAAACCCTCCACGAGGTCAGTCTTGTAATGTGAACAGAGGGTGGTATAGATTTCCGCCTGCCTATTAAGTAGGCAGACATCACTGTGGCACATTCACTGCTCACTTCTAGGAAGTGTACATGTTACCTTTTTCTTTTTGAATTAGAAAAAATAGTCTTCCTGTTACTTCAAGACCCTTAAGACTCTTCTCTGTAAGCAACCAGTAGTAACAGTTTCTTTTGAATCTTTCCATAAAATGTCTGTGCACAAAATAATTTTAATCTATTCTAATAGTAGCTAACATTTGTAAGTAGTTATTTCACATATATTATCTTATTTAATCCGTCCTCAAGCCCTATGAGATGTGTCCTGTGATCATCCATATATTGTAGATGTAGAAACTGAGGCTTAGGAAAGTCAAGTAACTTGCCGAAAGCCCCGGAGATTGTGTGAGCAGAGCTAAGACTTGAAGCTCAGACAGCCTGACTGAATGGGTATGTGTTTTTTTTAATACAGAAGAAAGCATATTATACATACTGTTTTTCCCTTGCTTTTTTTCACTTAACGTTATACCTTGAAGATCACCACATATCAGCACATCCAGATATTGCTAGTTGATAGGAAAATATTTTATTTCCACAGTGTTGAAATTAAGAGGCGGTCACCCTCATGAATGCAATGAATAAAAACCAGAGTCCTCACAATACTAAATCAGACCCCGATCTGGAAGGTCTTTATTTAATATTCAGTAAGATATAGTCCAGGAATGGGGCTGGTATAATAAAAGCAATGAAAATAAGTGAAATGACGTCTTTTTTTTAGTGCCCCTACCTGCATTTTTTCCTTCTTTCTCATTCCTTCCCCAAATTTCCAATGTCATCATTGTGTGATGACAGTGGGCACCACTTGCAGAGGTTGTTGATTTGATACAGAGATCATCGAGGTAGTTCTGCTGGATGGATTTTGGTGACCTTCAGAAATGAACTCTCTGATCTGACCCATTCCACATCAGTTTGGTTCATCTCCTGCCTGTAATTCATTCTGACCTAGCGTGTTTTTGCCTCATTCGTCTGTCTGAGGACAAATGTTAACATGATAGCAAGGTCTAGTTGTAGGTTTGTGCCGTGTGCTTATTGCACCTCTGGTTCCCATCCATTACTAAATATTGGTCATAGTGACAGAACAATGAGGACATGCACTTTCTTAGCCCATCCTTGGGAAGAGTGTCATAACTATGCCCACAGCTCTTGACGGAACAAAAGCCATGGTTCCAAGGAGACATTTCAGTAATTGCATATAACTTTCTTATTTATGTTAGTTGAGTAAAATCTAAATTATTAGAAAAATCTGCTCAGAGATATCCCATTCCTCATAGCATAACTTACCAATAAGTTATGTTCTCATGGAAGCCTTTCCTTAGTGTTAACTAGGGAGAAAAACTGCCCTACTTAGTAGTTTATGAACTTACCTTTTGTGCAGACAGATATGAAATTTTTTTGAGTGGTCATTAGAAAAATAGTATATATGTTTTTTGAGCATAAATACACTATGGTAAATTTTTCTTTTAAACTTACCTATTTTGGGTGTTCCTCTTTTATGGATTATAAAAGCTTCCGAAGAACTGAGTAGCTTGAAACTTGCATTCTTGGGAGCTAGTAGCTATGTACAAATGAAATAATCCCTGCTACTCCTAGTTCTACACAACCACTAATCTATTTTCTGTTTCTATAGATTTGCCTATTCTGGACATTTCATATAAATGGAATCATATAATGTGCAGCCTTCGTGTCTGGCTTCTTTCACTTAGCATGTTTCAAAATCCATCCATGTTGTAGCACGTATCAGTACTTCATTCCTTTTTATTGCCTCAGGTAGTTTGATATCCTATTTTTATGTTTACTGTGTATTAGCAAAATGTTAGACACCAAGTAAATGAGCAGCTCTTGAAAACCCAAATATAGGCTGGAGTTTGTAGTATTTTCTTTTGCTCCGTGGAGTTTCCAGTGCTACAATTTGATAGTCCTCCAGGGAGAGACTCTTTAGTAAAGAATTAAATAACTGATCAATCTCTAGGGAGTTTCCAAATCCTTGCTAGAAATTTAATCCACAGGTTTTTTGTTTTTTAAGTAGAGAGAATTTTCTTGTTGGTAAATTTGTTATAAAAACTGACTTGCTTACTGTATCTGAGACCTGCCACCTAGTTATGGTCCCAAAAGAGTTGTCAACAAGAGCCATCTCTCAACCTCTTAGAATTCTATAGTTGACAAGCAAACCTGGAAATGACTGGAGGTTCCATGATATCACCATCACCAAATTTTTCAGATGAAGAATCCCAGGGATGGCGAGGTTAAGCTACTTGCCCAGGGCCACATGGCTTAATTAACTTACTTGATACCACATGTTTTTATAGGGGGATTTTGCATTTTGGGATTGATTCTGGGAAGTAGCAAATAGGTATATGTAAAATCAGAGCCCCATTGATTTTTGCCTTGTTTTTCTGTAGGCGCTATTGGCATCTGAACCTAAGAAAGGCAAAATGGATTTGTTGAAAATAACAATGAAAGAGTTAATCACATTGGCTGGGCCTACAGATGACTCACGGAGCACAGTCTCCAAGGTAATAATGGAAATATACAAAGCCTGCTAGGAAGGCAGTGATTTTAAATCTTTGCTGTACCAAAAAGATACGGAATTCTTGAAAATAGGGCAGGTATTTGAAGCTTGATCTGGATATTTTGTTTGTTTTGTTTTGTTGGCCTTTCCTGTCCATAAAATAAATCATTGCTTTAGTTGATATATATTAACCAAAATGAACTATTTTTAAACTCTTGTGAAAACATCCAATTTAGATATTTTATAATACTGCTCTTGCATCTAAAATTTTTTAAATGAATGTGCAATCACTTTAAAATTTCATGTGTGCTTCTTTGAGTTGATACACATTTTGTAATTCAGTAGCTGATCTTTCCCTAAAATGAAGTGTCTAACTTTTGGTATATTCATTTTTTAATTTTAGCTAATATTTAGTCTCTTTTAGTCACTGCTGCACCTGGGTTAAGTGCGTGTGAGTGTGTGTGTGTGTGTGTGTGTATGAGTGAGAAGTTGGGGTAAGTAATCCTCGTAGCTCCACTCCACTCCATAATAGTAAATACCTTCAAGAACATCTTGTCTAGGCTTTCTCAATAAATGCTTTATAGTAAGACTTTCCTGCCCAACTGTAGGACTCCCAGGCTAGGTCAGGGAACAGAAGAGCTGACGCGTCAATCAAGTACCATACAAACGTACATGATTTTATTTCAGAGCCCGTGGGAGGTGTCAAAGGGGAGCCCATGGGCCAGAGTGTGACTAGTGAGAAAGGATGGGGTTTATTAGCATATTAGCACTTTCTGGCTTGTGACTATAATATGTGAAGTTTCCTTATTTATCTCAAACTTTTAAAGTGTCACTAATCACCTTTCAGAAATGATCGGTTTTAGATTTTATTCCAGCAAAATGTGAAAAATATAATTTGGTTTCATTTTCCTAGACTTTTACTTAAAGTGCTATTTTTTATGAGAACATCTAAAAATAATGGAGTTTGATTTTAGGGTGTTGGGTAATTATTGTCCTACTCTGCTTCAAGATCATTCATGGCATTTTAGTGATCATTTTTATTAAATTGGTAAAACTTAAAATTTTGTCTCTGACCAGTCTTCTAGGCATTAGTTGATAATTTGTTTTCCTTCTCCCCTTTTGTGGTATATTTCTTATTATTTTTATTAGGTATCTGTGATTCAGCATATAAAAATGTACAGTGAACGATGAACATCTGTGAAACCAATTCCAACCTGAAGAAGTAAAACATTGCTGATAGAATTATATGCACTGTGGGCTCTTTGGCATCCTGTGCCCCTTTTTTCCCCCTCAGCTATAATCACTAATCCAAGTTTTTCTGTGCACGTTTTTCATTCTTTTATGACTTTTTTTTTTTAAACATAAATAGTATTATCCATACATCTTTTTATAGTTTGGGTGTTTACAATAAACATTATTTTCAAGGTGAGTGAGCTTAAGTTTTTTTTTAAGATTTATTTATTTATCTGTTTATCTATCTATTTATGAATTTATTTATTTTAGAGAGTGTGAGCAGGGAGAGGGACATGGGGGAAGGAGAGGGAAAGGGAGAGAGAATCTGAGGCCGACTCTGTGCTGAGCATGGAGCCTGTTGCGGTGCTCGATCCCACGACCACAGATCATGACCTGAGCCAAAACCAAAAGTCAGACATTTGACTGAGCCACCCAGGTGCCCCAAGTTCATTGTAATTTCTGAATGGTGTTTCATTGTACATGGTTTCTGCCTTTCTGCTTTGTGTGAAATGGCACTTCCCAGTTTTATTTCACATTTCTCTGATACCTGGCTAGCTTTAACATTTTTTCATGTTTCATTTTTAGTCTTCTGGATTACTTCTGTGAATTGCCCCATTTAAAGACTTTTTAGCTGCCTTTAACTTGGTTGTCTTTGTCTTGTGGGAGTTGGGGTTTTTGCTGTTTTAAAATGATTTTCCTGGGGCACCTGGGTGGCTCAGTCGGTTGAGCATCTGCCTTCGGCTCAGGTCATGATTTCAGGGTCCTAAGATCAAGCCCTGAATTGGGCTCACTGCTCAGGGGGGCATCTGCTTCTCCATCTCCCTCTGCACCCCCACACCCCGCTCCTGCTCTGTCTCTCAAATAAATAAATTTTAAAAATCTTTAAAAACATGATTTTCCTGATAACAGTATTCCTTTTTGGTTATTTGAGTTACACATACCTTCTCCCAATCTGTAGTTTCTCCTTTCACTTTGCTTTTGCATGGAAGTTTTAAATTTTAATCAAGTGGAGTATGTCAGCTTTTTTTTATGGTTTGTGCATTTGGATCTTGTTTAAAATACTCCAAGGTCAGAACGATATTTTTTATTTTCTTTGTAAAGTTTTAGAGTTTTACTTCTCACATTTCTGTCTTTACACCACCTGTAATTTGTGTGTAAAATAAGACAAAAATATTATTTTCCATTTGGATAATGAATATACAAGCATTTTTGATATAGGATATCCTTTCCCCTTGATTTATAACACCCTTCTATCTTTCATGTACTTTTTTTTTGATATGCGTATCTGTTTGTGTGCTCTATTTTACTGGTCTGTTAGTCTATCCCTGAGCCAAAGTCACTGTTTTAATTACTATCTTTTTAATAAGTTTTGGTATCTGGTAGGGTGAATCTCCCTTTTTTTCCTTTGGAATTATCTTGGCTATATTTATTCATTGCATTTCCATGTAAGTTATAGAATCAGCTTGTTAAGTTCAACAAAACTCCTTTTTGAATTTTGGTTGGAATTTAAATTTATTGATTTGTTTGGGAAAAATGACTTTGCGCTGAATGTAAGCACAACAATAACCAAAAAAATTAATTGCATTTATACACACCAGCAACATACAGTATAATCTTTAAAATACCATTTACAACCACTAGAAAAACTATAAAATATGTAGAATTAAATTTCACAAAAGATCTATAGGACTTTTATAGAAAATTATTTTTAAAAATAATGAAAGACATACAAGAAGATCTGAATGAATGGAGAAAAAAGCCATGCTCATGGACTGGAAGATTCAATATAAAAAAAGAAGTCAAGTCAACAATTGCTGTACTACAAGTAATGACTTACATGTGAATCTTTTGGATTTTCTTTATGGATAATCATATCCTCAGTGAATAATGCTAAATATGTTTTACCTTTCTAATTCTTTTTTTTTTTTCTAAAGATTTTATTTATTCATTTGAGACACAGAGATACAGAGAGAGAGAGGGCATGAGCAGTGGGAGAGGCAGAGGGAGAGGGAGAAGCAGACTCCCGGCTGAGCCAGGAGCCTGATGCGGGGCTCGATCCCAGGACCCTGGGATCGTGACCCGAGCCGAA